AGTGTAGTTGTAAGTTAGCTAGTACATTTGAATATCACCAGAAATTCATCCAAACCCACACACATTTAAACTCACATCTCATAATGTTAATTTATAGCGGATGACTGGAGAAAGTCCACAGAATTAATCAAATATCAACCCACAAAAATTTGTATAAATATTCATTCTTCCCTAGAACTATTGTTAACTGGAATTCGCTACCATCATCCCTAGCACAGGAGCCAAACCTGAACTCTTTCAGGTCTGCCCTGGCTAGTTTCAACGTTCCATAAAGTGTTTTCTGTTTTCATCTTATAGTACAAATTAACAAAAATAATTGTTTTTAACATTTTTAATGCCACCTCCCAGGATCAAGTGCACACAAACCTTTGAGTCTGATCCTTGTAAAGGAAGAAGAAGAAGAAAGACCCAACCGATGTCAAAAAATTGATTTAATTAATTGAAGAGCTGTTTGTTTTTATAATGCACAGACCAAGCTAGCGTAATTCAGCAGAGCACTATATAACATGATCATTGAGGCACAGGTCCAACATCAACGCCACATAAACATTGCACTTCGACTGAACAGAAAATCAATAACCGATAACAAGTAGCGTCCTTCTGTTTCACCTGTCACCTGGCCTGGCCGTTAATTACAGGTGTGACAACCATAAAAATGACCTTAGACATCAATAGTACAAATGTTTTATAATACTTACAGTGATTTAAGTTAATCGTTAATCCACTGTCCGACATTTTGTAGTGACACACTGTTTACGTACTAAATATCGTGGACTTGACGAGACAGGTACCCGGTGTTGTTCCGTTGTCACGATGCCATTCACCTGGTAATCATAACGACAAACGCAAAACGGCTCGAAGTGTCGCACGGGCGTCAAACTGAGGCTATGAAATATACCCGGGAGATTTAAATACCCGCCTGTCTCAATACGTAGGATAATGCTAAACTAACGTAAAGTTGTCCGAAGGTCAATATAATTGTCTAAATAAAAGTAATAGAAATAATCGTTATTCAGGTAAAGGTATCGTAATTTGAAAATGCACATTTGATTTAGTCAGTTCACACAGAGACGTACATATATATTACATATTATATCAGCCGTTTAGTAATACGTCCTTTAATGACCTCTCCGCAAATATGACGCTTAGCCATATAAAAACCAAAAATATAAAATCACCTGATTCCAATTCATAAAGATCGACAAATTAGTATCTAAACGTGCCTTAATTTATACGTTGTCACTATGAACCTCCAAGTTAATGGAGTGTATTCCACCCTATACAAATGTAGGTGCACAGGGACCTGAGATTATTTTACATTTATAAATATATTTTATCATTGCATGGATGTGTCACTTTTACCGAAAACTGATCTTAACCCCTATATTATTTTACATTTCCACAGCGAGTTTCTCTATAAGCAATACCAGAAGAAATAACGTTCATAGAGCTATGAACGAAATTTGATCAGCGTCATTTTGAACCTTCCCCTCCCGTCTCGAATAACCTAAGAAAGTGTTAGAAGCAAGTAATTTGGTGACGTTAGGCTGATCTGGGAATCTCGTTTGATATAACTTGTGGCTCAAATTTGGGGCGATAAATATGTTTTAATAAAATCTCGTTTGCATTGACGACCAGTCACTTCAATATCAAAATATTAGGGAAGATCTGTATTCAAGTCAATTATAACTAAAAAAAATAGAATGTAAATACAAGGATTGAACGCTATTTTTTTTTTAAACTCATGCGAGTACGAACGCATGGAAAAAAAGGCAGTTCAATGCTTATAAAATGTGAAAAACGACACAATTGAGGAGTTTAGAAAATATGAAAAAATACTCTGAATACCTCAGTTTAGATTCAAATATAGCTGTAACAAATTCCCGGGAGCCTTTGTTTAAGTGTGTGTGTATATATAGGTATACATAAAATCTTTTTTTTTCTTTGTGTGTAAGTTCTATTTCAGAATATCCAACACATCTTTTTAGTACAGATAATCCATTATATAACATAATGATACAATATTTATACAACACCCCAGGGCACGTCATCACTCTTTGTTCAGCTATGCACCTAGGCACGAACACGCGCACACGCCTACTCATACACATCATTTTCAATAGATTACATTATAGGCTATATTGTATGTTTCCCCACAAGGACAATTACAAAAACATCATCTATATACTCGCAAAGTTGTCGTCTGCTTAATAGACTAGTTGCCTATCGTAGTTTTTCTACTCTCCGCCAGTCTTCGTTTCGACAAAATAGTATCAAAGAGCGCAACTAAAGTGTGATGCCTCTTGCCCATTTTACCACATAGGTTCCAATATTGAGGGAATAAGAAGGGGTAAACTCAATCGCGAGAGGGAAACACGACGTTTTAATTCCCAGTATTGGGAACACCATAATCCGATCAGAGGTCTTATTTTGGCGTATTACTACAATTAAATCTAAAATTTAAGGGATTAAAAAATGAAATAATTAATTTCAATGGATAATTCTTAAAAGAAATCCACCTCATCCACATGTATTTAGATTTGTATTCAATAATTAAACAGTATCGCTGAATAATATATAGTGCTCACAAATACATTGCATCTTGGTTTGAAGTGTCATTAGCCTAATATGCGTCTTTATTAGACATGGAAATGGCCAGCAGAACACGGGAGATTGCATGCTCCTGCAGCTTTTCAGAAAAATAAAGACAATTTTCCTGAAAGTCCCCCAGATCCATCCGCTGGGAGTGGGGCATCTCCTCTACACCTCCCCTTCCTCATTCTTCCTTGTCTTAGTTAACTTACGGTAGAACTTTGTAGATAAACACGAGAGAAGACAGTAATATACGAAAGATTGAGCTATTGAAAGACAACTATAAGTGCCATCTCAATGAAAAGACAAAACCTCGACAGGTAGCGGGACATGCACACAGGGACATGACATTTTGTTACAGGTATATTTAGACCTAAACCAATGTGTTCAGAGTAATTGTACACGTGTTAAGGGTTTAGATCAACTTGAGGTATCATAATTTGGGTGGTATTTTTATCGACAGTTGATCTAAGTCCATAAAACGTGTAAAATTACTCCGAAAACCTTAGTTAAGGTCTGAATAAAGCTGAAACGACTTATCAGGTCCATGTGGTCACTCCATCCGGTTAAGCTGAACAATTTAAGGAATTTGATTTTGATCTTCCTCACTTTGGCGAACGCTCAGCACTAAAGCCAAAAGCAAGGTATTGCCAAGACGAGCCTTAAAGAAAAGCATATACAAAGGGGAGAAAATGTTTGGGGAATGAAGAAATGCAAGTTCATGTTTCCATGGTTACATTTGAAACATCAGATGTTGCAATACATAGATTTCAATGAGCTGTAAGAGACTTGTGACAATATGTTTCTGATATAGTTATACTGCCATTCCGGTACTTAATTAAAGATCCTTAATTAATAATTAATTGATAAATTGCACAGGGTAGGTTTCTTTCGTTACTGAGAGCAAGGCAGCTTTCACCTTTAAAATTGCCACATAAATAAATAACAAGTTACAAGGTGTGTACTTGGAACCTTTGTCAAGTGTGATTCCCATCAAAACAGCTAAGGTCAAATGAAGACCGTTGCCTAGGGAGACACTATCGGAAAAGTGGGTAGGGAAGTGAAAAAAGAAAAAAAATAGAGATCCCAAGTGTTCCAACGGGGACAGCCGACACGTTCTGTTTCTTTTTCTAGGTCAAACACGTTATAAAACAAACAAAAGCGCCCGATGCAGCAGGGGGCCCACATGAGTCAGTTTTTATCTTTTATGATACCACGCAGGTGGTATAGTGGACCTATTATGTAATTCTCTGAATTTGCAGGGTTGAATCACAGGGACCTGATAATTTGTTACAGCTATAATTGGCCTTCAAATGAGGCGTTAAGAGTATTTTTTTTACACGTTTTAGGGGTTTACATCAATTTTCGATAGAAACGCCACACTCCCAATGATGGTTAGGCGTTCAAAGTAAAAAATACACGTTTTAGAGGTTTAGTGCTAATACCATCATTTGGATGGGGTTTTTTATACCGAAAATTGATCTAAACCCATAAAACCTGTACAATTACTATGAACACCTCAGTTAAGTGCAAAACATAGTTGTAACAAATTTCCAGGTCCCTGTGAGCTGAATCTTTATATAATCTATAAAACGTGTTCCCTGAAGATTTGAAAACATCAATCTGGGTGAGAAACACTTTTTTTCTGAGACCCGATACTGAAATATAGATGCACAACTACAGTACCGCTGTCATTAAAAAACTTTGTAGTATGCGTGACGAGTGAGACCTATTACAAAAAGCCAACCCGCATTACCTCTTCAAGGTTTTAGGGGAAATATCACGCAATCAAGCTTTTCTCGAAATAAGTGTTATTAAGTGACATCAATATATATCTAAACATTACATCATAGTGTTCGACAAGTGTGTCTAAGGTATATATACAGTCAGCTTCAAAACGTATAACATCAAATCTGCTGGCATATAGCAACCTTTTCGCGGACGTAATGATTTTCTGTCAAATATTCTTCCAACAAATTCAGCAAATATATTGATTTGATAAAGCTGTCAGTGGGCATCGTTCAAAGCTGAATGTGGTTATCGGTGACGTAAACTAGCGCACTGGGATATAAAAATAATAATGCAGCACTACATTTTTTTTTCTGTACACTAAATAAAATTGTCAGAAAAGTCCGCCACGATATTAAATATCAAAGACAAGGTGGCAAAAGTTATCTCCCATGGTCTGAATAGTTTATTAATATCGCACTTGTCACATACTAGCTGCTTCCTACTCAGCTACAGATAATTTCTCTTTGGCTCATTTGGTAGAGCGCAAAACTAGTAAACACGATGCACCGGGTTCAACTCCTAGCGGAGGCACTAAAAAAATAATGACACCTGTCACATTAATATAATCAGTAGGAATTATCTCCCTTCTATTGCAAAAATTTAAAGCAGATACTCACCTCAAGTTGTGGGTAGACTCATCGTCCTGGAACATCACATACGGATCATCGCGCTGGTGTGGTACATGTGAAATGACAATGGTGGGATTTGTTCCCTGGCTGTTAGGCGTATATCCAGGTTCAAATGATGGGAATCTAGTTTCGGCAATTTGATAATCGTCCTCCAGACCTATAAATTCCACTGATTGCCGACTCGGCCATGTTGGTTGTCCTGTGTTGTAATATTGTATTCCGGTGTGGTCTGCTGGATGTATATCGACCCCATATTGCTGTATATTGGTGGTTTCCCCCTTTGGGAAGTTGTCATCGTAATTTTGATTGTTTTTATTTGATCGTTCTGCTCTATCTTGTACACGCCCAGTGCGTCCCCCGATGTCGAGCGACAGATCAACATCCTCGGTACAACTATTGTTGGATACGCCGGACAGATGTACATATGTAGGTTGTATAGGTGTGCTGTGTTTGCTCATGTCACCGAGGTTCAACAGCTGTGAGTTGTTGAACCCTCCTCCCCACATCCGACCTGTCTCAGCGTCCTTATAAAGACGATCATGAGAATGATTCGCATACAATGGTTCTGTATGCTGGGGATTGGCTCTCTTGTCCCTTTGTCTGTTGTTGTGTTCGGCAATGTACACAGCATCATCAGTGATCGTCAAAGGAAGGTCTTGTGCCTGACTTTCATCGAACGCAAAGTAATATTGATCTTGCGATTCTCTTTCTTGTAGACGAACTATCGGCGTCTGCTCATAATGTTGGAATATTTCATTAGAAAATCCATACTCTGCTTTCCTATACTCGTCAGTCATTAAAAGCTGTTCAGTGTCGAGGTTTGTATGTGGTACCATCACGTCAAAGTTGGGATATCCAGGAACCTCTTTTCTTTCATCATTTTCAAGAATTGTCGAATTAGGAAATGTTGCAAATTCGGTAACATGCATGTTTGTTTGATTATCATGTTCTTCACTCGAACCTTTAATAAATGCCAGTGACTCTGGCTCAGGTATAACATCAATACTTCCAAAACGAACTGCTCTTAAAGGTAGTGTATCCTGTTCCCCATTCTGCTCTCCGCGTACTGCTGAAGTTCCGATTCCATTTGGAATGTTTGATCCGTAGTACGTACACGGTGCCTCGAACTGAACAGATGCATTGTCCCCAACAAATGTTGAACAAGGAATAACTCGAGCTTCAACTGATGATAAATTAGTGGAGATAGGATCTGATATGATATTAGTCGAAAATCCTTCGAAATTTGATACTCCAGAAGTTCCATTCTGATATGGAATAGATGGTCCAAAATATGTTGACGCTATTTCAAACCGATCACCACTAGGAGTGGTACCATAATCTGTAACGGAACTGTTCTGTAAAGTACTGGTAGCCAATGGATCAGGTCGGAATTTGTTTGTAAAACCTTCGTATGTGTGCTTAAAGGCTTTCCTACGTTTCCAATTTCTTCTGGAATTGGTTTTAAATTGACGCTTTTGTCTCTTTCCTACATACGGTTCCCTGTCTCTAATACTGGTAACAGGGATGTCTACTAACGGAGTTCTAACGTTGCCATTAGGTTCTTGTCTAGTCCTTGCCTTCTTCCTATCTGCCTGATCTTGCTGCATAACTTTCGTGTCTTCAGTACTCCGTAAGTTGGCAATATCAAAGGTCTTCTGACCAAGATCTGTTTCTTGAAGCCCTTTGATATGATTTTTTGTTTTGCCTATGATATCAAACCGTTGAAGATCTGGATTACTTTTTTGAGACACCTCATCGAGATTTGTATCCGGAAGTTCAAAAATATGCATTTTCCCCTTGCTGTTCGTACGCTTTGTCTTTATATCATTGTCGATGAAAGGGTAGCTTTTTAGAGACCAGGACCTCGACTTGAGTGTCATACTTAATGTATCCCAGTTATCGTCAATCACTTCGTCACATGGTTGTTTGACGTCCGTGACGTCAGGGTCATAGTCGTTCCACATTGTCCTCAACCAGGCTGACGTCTTCCGCGCCGTCGACCTTCCACTGTCGACTGAGGAACGGCTGACAATGTCACCTTTCTCCATATCGATCACAAGGTCATGATCCGCAAGCGACTCACTTTTCTACAAATAAAATTGTGTGCTGTATCAATTTTATTGGTTTAATTGAAAATTACGGACGTCATCCACAGATACCAAAAGACAGTAAAAACTGCTCAGATTGATAGACCAAAACATGTCGAGTTAAAAGAGTCTTCGAGTCAATCAAGACTGCGGACGATCAATATAGGATCATTATTACATCATTTTTGAAGCTCCCTCTGTGAAACTTGTAGAATTAAACTAGAATATCAATGTATCAATCCTAATCCATCTATATATGAACATTTTGACCAATGTTCTGTCTTACATACAAGCTCATTGCACTAGTTCTAATGACCGGTTGTGCACTTACTGAAAAGGGTTATAGTCTGTCTTATTAACAGCTACCTAGACATTTAGTTTACGACATTGACCCTACCTGACCTGATCCGCTGTGGCCAGACTTGACCGAGGCCAACGTGCCGGTCCGTGGTTGGTCACCATAGTGCATTATGAAGTAACTGAGTGTTAGCACGACCACAATGGCAGAAGGCACAACAATTAGGAGTATGGTCAAGGGGCCGGACAATCCACCTGTATCTGGCTGATCTGTTTCAGGTGTCTTCAGCGCTAAGGACACTGGCTCTAAAACCTGGATAACAGACATTTTGACACGTCATACATTTGTTCAATTTACACAATTACCAGAGAAAGTTTAAACTGCCCTTTTCCCAATCCTTTACTTATTAATATCCACTCATGTTGAAAGCCTACCTGGTAATTGAACATTATGAGCTGCTACATGAAAAATACTATACATGAACTCTCATCGCTCATACACACCCGATATGTCCCAGCCTATTTCCATCTTGTGGATTCAGGGAAAGGAGAGATATGGGGCCGTATTCACGAGACTGTTCTCATGCACCAGCATGTATTGTGCTCATACCAACTATCTTGTAGTTTGAATCAAATGATATCTTAAAAAAGTCAAGTGTAAACCCAAAAAAACGATGTTTTCCTTTAAGCCTCTCCTGATTTCTTTCAAATTATTGTCAAAATGTGAAGTTTTATAGATTTATCACGGGATCAAGCAATTGGGCTTGAGCCCAAAATCTGAGTTTGAGCATGAGAACGGTTTCATGAATACGGGTCCTGATATATCCTATTGTATGTTTTATGTATGTCCTTATGATGCGACTTATATGGAACACCTTTCATGATTGGATTTTACTTCCGTGTCTTTCGGAAGGGTCTACTTAGGCCTCCAACAACCTAAATCGTTGCACAGAAGTAAAGACATAAAAAAAACCACAACAAATTCGACATGGTACGTACCGGATAGCCTAGAATAGCGCTTGTCTCCACCTCACTGAGTCGGTTGTATTTTTCTTTGGCAGTTTGTGCTGGCACCGCTGATCCATCCTCTAGGATATAAAATGCGACGTCAACACCGTCTTCAACGTCATTCCGCGTTATATTTGTAATCTATAAATAAACGAAAAAGGAGATATTGTAGAGTATAGTTGTTTTTACATAGAACTTGTGTTTTCCCATTGGAAGGTGTCGGTATGCGGCTGTTATATATATATATCTGAACCATTGAGATGAACCACAGTTCCGCGATGACACAGTTAAACTGCTTTTGTTTTCGCTTGTTCAATATTTATCGGATTTATATAAACGAAAACTTTTTTCGTGGTATTTTTATGCTGTAATATGATGAGTTCTTAGAGCGCTATACTAACTCTCATATCAGTTTTATGTTTGAAATACGATGCCAGTCTTTATTTTATATCATTTGTATGATTTTAAAATGATTAACTTCTACATTAATCTCCAGTTTTATGTTTAGAACATGATAAGCTCCTTCACTAAATCTCTGTTTATATGTATTTTGACATGATAAACTCCGACAATATTTCTCAGTTGTTAGGTTTTTAACATGATAACCTCGTACACTTATTCTCGGTTTCATACTTAAAGTATGATAAGGCTCAGTACGTTATGTCAGTTGTTTTGTCTTGCAATATAATAAACTCATTTACTAATCTCAGTTTTCAAAATTCAAAATTGTGGCAAGATATCTCAGAAGTATGATTGGACCTTTTCTGACGTTTATGGAATATTATGAGACGTGTTAGGTGATTTCATCAATACTCGTAAAAAATCTTATTGTCCCACATCATGGTATGTAGAAAGGGCTACAGGTCCTCGAAGTACAAAAATTGACCCATGCAAAATGTGAAAAAACGGAAATAATGCCCATATAATGAAAACGCATTTTATACAATCTCTCAAACATTGCCAAACATTTTTTGCTACACCTATGTAAGAAATACCAGAAAGCTGACTTTTGCAGCGAGACAGTTATGTAGGGTCCTATTGCAGACTTTGAAATTTTGCCATCTTTGCTACATAAACCATCATAAACCATATATATCATAGCAAAATTGAAGGCACGCGACTAGCTTTTTGATTGGTCTCACGTAAAATAAAAACCTGCCGAATCGCTAGGCCGACACCTGTCCTTTGAAGATTACAGAGGAGCGACACCCGACTTCAAAGTTAGTTAGTTGTACCGTTAAGCGCCCGACATATTCGTTTGATGTGGATCAGAGGATCAAACTAGTCTTCTCGTCTCATCCCTAAGGTGGCGAAGACTGAGCCTTCGAATTTGCTATTATATACTCAGCGATGCAGAGAGTAAAAGTGAGCGCGATTCCTGGATATCGAGGATGAATGTACTGTGGTAGAGTATTTAAATGTTCTGCCAGAACAGTAGAGGACGTGTTTTACTAGACTTGGCTATATGAAAAAAAAGATGGTAATGACTAAAATTTATGCTGGGGCAAAAATGATAAACCAGGCATTTTATGTACAAGCGGATTAGATCAATGTGCATATAAACAGACAAAATACATAGGTTTTAATAACTGAGGCTTTTTCATATATATGTCCGTTTATAAATTTTGAAACCGGGGACTACAGATAGGACAAGTATGAGTTCAGATTACATATTTACTAATAACTTAATGAACTGAATGTTTTACTGATTTGATATACAATCATATGATTAAAACATACTATACCTGAACTTGAATATTATCTTGTCGTTTGCGTCGGGTTATAAGATGGATGTCTCGCTTTCGTCGTTCCGATGAAGCCTCAGCATATGTTTCCGCCAGTCCTGTTCAAATGGAGAAACATTAATCGTCGTATTGGAAGAGAAATAAAAAACAAACTATCGTGTACTCGACTTTGCTTTCGAAAATAATAAGTTATATTTGTATTTCTCTACATGTTTCAAATGAATGTTTCTAATTATTTTGATTTTAAAGAACACGCACTTTTCTCGGCATAGTTGAGACGTTAAAATTTTGACTTTGAATTCACGTTCCACAAAAGAGATGTAAACATTTCAACAAGTCATTAAAACACCCCGTAAGGAGCTGTTTAGATAAAATGAGTTCATGATCGCAAAGAGGACGTTTGATTGGATATCAGATAAGTTTCATTCAGAACCTTATGAAGAGAAAAATAACCTCCACATTTCTTTAAAAAGTTAGTATAGGTAGGTTAAACATACCGACTGTTAGGTCGTCCCTGAATGCATCAGTTGTAACATTGATTTTCTGTTTAACCTGGATGCGAATTTGCAGCATGATGTCCTCATCCTTTGGAAGTGGAGTCACTGTGGAGCTACTGACAACAAGTGTTACTGGCAACCCTGATGTCTGCGTTACAGAGGCAGTCATCAACGCTGTTGAGGGTACAACAGTGGCTGACGACATGAGAGGCAGAATTGAAGTGGTCACCGTCTTTACTGAAATCTGTTCATAAGGGTCAGGTTGTGACTGCACTGTCGACTGTGTTGTCTGAAGCAACGACTTTTGAATAATTGACACTGTTTCAGCAGGCAATGTATTCATCAAACGATTGGTAGGCAATGTCATATCAGATGCAAGTTCTGAATGGGTTAGAATGTCACTTCTTGAGCTCACCAAAGATGCAAACGATGATACCGCAATTGTTCTAGTTGTTTCTGAAAGTTGTGGTGTAGATTCCGTGGAATATATCAATTCACCTGAAAAAGTCGTCTCTGATGGAAACAAAGTCGAATGTTCACCAGGAGCCAACTCATGTTTTGTTGATTTCACATCAAATGACATCAAATTCTTCGATGTAGATGGTGACACAGGTGAGTTGATAAATGAGGTCATTTTCTCTGACATCGTGCTCTGTGGTGTAGATGGTGACACAGCTGGATCGATAAATGATGATGGCATTCTCTCTCCAATTGTATTCAGTGACGAATATGGTGACACAGCCGAACTGATGAAGGATAAAAACATTACATTTGACATCGAACTCAGTGGTGAAGATGGTATCACTCTCTTTGACATCTCGTTCAGTGATTTCCATGATGTCACAGCTGACTGGATATTTGAGGATGACATACTTTCCGACATCGTACTTATTGACTTCGATTTTATCACAGATGACTGATCTAGAAATGATGAATTTCTTTTTGACACATTACTCTGTGCAGGAGGTTGCGTCATGGATAATTGGGTTACTGATGATGACATCCTTACTGACATTGAAGTGGGATGCATAGATGAGCTCGCTGCTGTTTCAGTTAAAATGGATGACATACTCTCTGACATTTCACTCAGAGACGTAGATCGAATCACAGCTGACTGCAAAAATGACGATGACAAACGTTCTGACTTTGGTAACACGTCTGACTTGATAAATGATGAGACAATTCTCTCTGTCATTGTACTCATGGGCGTAGATAATGACACGTCTGACTTGATAAATGATGAGGATATTATATCTGACATAGTACTCAGTGATGTAGATGGTAACACATCTGACTTGCTATATGACGAAGACATTCTTTCTGACATCTTTCTAAGTGGTGTAGATAGTGACACATCTGAGGTGATAAATGATGAGGAAATTCTATCTGACATCGTTCTCAGTGGTGTAGATGGTGACACGTCTGACTTGACAAATGATGAGGACATTCTATCTGACATCGTACTCTGCGATGAAGATGGTGATTCATCTGACTTGGTAAATGATGAGGATATTATATCTGACATCGTACTCAGTGATGTAGATGGTAACACATCTGACTTGCTATATGACGAAGACATTCTCTCTAACATCGTTCTCAGTGGTGTAGATGGTGACACATCTGACTTGCTATATGATGAAGACATTCTCTCTGACATCGTTCTCAGTGGGGTCGATGGTAACACATCTGACTTGTTATATGACGAAGACATTCTCTCTGACATCGTTCTCAGTGGTGTAGATGGTGACAGATCTGAGGTGATACATGCTGAGGAAATTCTATCTGACATCGTTCTCAGTGGTGTAGATGGTGACACATCCGACTTGTTATATGACGAAGACATTCTCTCTGACATCGTTCTCAGTGGTGTAGATGGTGACAGATCTGACTTGTTATATGCCGAAGACATTCTCTCTGACATCGTACTCATTGGTGTAGATGGGGATACGTCTGAGGTGATAAATGATGAGGACATTCTATCTGACATCGTACTCAGTGGTGTAGATGGTGACAGATTTGAGGTGATAAATGATGTGGATATTCTATCTGACATCGTACTCAGTGGTGGAGATGGTGACACAGCTGAGTTAATATTTGATGAGGACATTCTGTCTGACATCGTATCTAGTGGTGTAGATGGGGACACGTCTGACTTGATAAATAATGAGGACATTCTATCTGACATCGTACTCTGCGATGAAGATGGTGATTCATCTGACGTGATAAATGATGAGGACATTCTATCTGACATCGTACTCAGTAGTGTAGATGGTGACACGTCTGACTTGATAAATGATGAGGACATTCTCTCTGACATCGTACTTAGTGATGTATATGGTGACATATTTGACGTGATAAATAATGAGATCTCTCTTTCTGACATCATACTCAGTGGTGTAGATGGTGACACAGCTGCGTTAATATTTGATGAGGACATTCTGTCTGACACCGTATCTAGTGGTGTAGATGGGGACACGTCTTGCTTGATAAATAATGAGGACATTCTATCTGACATCGTTCTCTGCGATGAAGATGGTGATTCATCTGAGTTGGTAAATGATGAGGATATTATATCTGACATCGTATCCAGTGGTGTAGATTGGGACACGTCTGACTTGATAAATGATGAGGTCACTCTTTCTGACATCGAACTCAGTGGTGTAGATGGTGACACAGCTGAGTTAATATTTGATGAGGATGATGAGGACATTCTCTCTGACATCGTACTTAGTGATGTAGATGGTGACATATTTGACGTGATAAATAATGAGATCTCTCTTTCTGACATCGTACTCAGTGGTGTAGATGGTGACACAGTTGAAGTGATGAATGATGAGGATATTCTATCTGACGTCCTACTCAGTGATGTAGATGGTGACATATCTGACGTGATAAATAATGAGGACATTCTCTCTGACATCGTACTCAGGGGTGTAGATGGTGACACAGGTGAGACATGCTGAGGAAATTCTATCTGACATCGTACTTAGTGGTGTAGATGGTAACACAGCTGAGTTAATATTTGATTAGGACATTCTGTCTGACATCGTATTCAGGGATGAGGGTGGTGATTCATCTGAAGTGATAAATGATGAAGATATTTTATCTTGAAGATGGTGTCACATCTGACGTGATAAATGACGAGGACATTCTCTCTGACATCGTTCTTAGTGATCTAGATGGTGACACATCTGACGCGATAAATGTTGAGGATATGCTCTCTGACATCGTACTCAGCGGTGTAGATGGTGACATATCTGTGGTGATAAATGATATTTTCTCTCTATCTAACATCGTACTCAGTGGTGTAGATAGTGACACATCTGTGGGGATAAATGATGTGGACATTCTATCTGACATCTTACTCAGTGGTACCACAGCTGAGTTAATATTTGATGAGAACATTCTGTCTGACATCTTATTCAGTGATGAAGATGGCGATTCATCTGACGTGATAAATAATGAGGACATTCTCTTGATGAAGACGGGGACACGTCTGACTTGATGAAGGATGAGGACATTCTATCTGACATCGTTCTTAGTGATCTAGATGGTGACACATCTGAGTTAATATTTGATGAGGGCTTTCTGTCTGACATCGTATTAAGTGGTGTAGATGGTGACACATTTGAGGTGATAAATGATGAGGACAGTCTATCTGACATCGTACTCTGCGATGAAGATGACGAAGACATTCTCTCTGGCACCGTATTCAGTGATGAAGATGGCGATTCATCTGACGTGATAAATAATGAGATCTCCCTTTCTGACATCGTACTCAGTGTCGTCGATGGTGACACGTCTGACGTGATCAATGATATTGTCTCTCTATCTGACATCGTACGAAGGGGTTCTATCTGACAACGTACTCTGCGATGAAGAGGGTGGTTCATCTGACTTGGTAAATGATGAGGATGTTATATCTGACATCGTTCTCAGTGGTGTAGATAGTGACACATCTGTGGGGATAAATGATGTGGACATTCTCTTCTGACATCGTGCTCTGTGGTGTAGATGGTGACACATTTGAGGTGATAAATGATGAGGAAATTCTCTCTGACATCGTTCTTAGTGATCTAGATGGTGACACATCTGAGTTAATATTTGATGAGAACATTCTTTCTGACATCGTATTCAGTGATGGAGATGGTGCTTCATCTGACGTGATAAATAATAACGTCTCTCTTCCTGACATCGTACTCAGTGATGAAGAGGGGGACATGTCTGACTTGCTATATGATGAAGACATTCTCTCTGACAGCGTACTCAGTGATGAAGATGGTGATTCAGCTGACGTGATAAATGATGAGAACATTCTCTCTGACATCGTTCTTAGTGATCTAGATGGTGACACATCTGATTTGTCATATGACGAAGACATTCTCGCTGACATCGTACTCAGTGGGAACACAGCTGAGTTAATATTTGATTAGGACATTCTGTCTGACATCGTATTCAGGGATGAGGGTGGTGATTCATCTGAAGTGATAAATGATGAAGATATTTTAGCTGACCTGACTTGTTATATGACGAATACATTCTCTCTGACATCGTACCCTGCGGTGTAGATGCTGACATATCTGACGTGATAAATAATAAGGTCTCTCTTTCTGACATCGTACTCAGGGGTGTAGATGGTGACACATCTGAGTTAATATTTGATGAGAACATTCTGTCTGACATCTTATTCAGTGATGAAGATGGGGACATGTCAGACTTGCTATATGACGAAGATATTCTCTCTGACATCGTACTCAGGGGTGTAGATGGTGACACAGCTTAGTTAATATTTGATGAGGACAGTCTGTCTGACATCGTATTCAGGGATGAGGGTGGTGATTCATCTGAAGTGATAAATGATGAAGATATTTTATCTGACCTGACTTGTTATATGACGAATACATTCTCTCTGACATCGTACCCTGCGGTGTAGATGCTGACACATCTGACGCGATAAATGTTGAGGATATGCTCTCTGACATCGTACTCAGTGTTGTCGATGGTGACACGTCTGACGTGATCAATGATATTGTCTCTCTATCTGACATCGTGATGGTAACACATCTGACTTGTTAGATGACGAAGACATTCTCTCTGACATCGTTCTTAGTGATCTAGATGGTGACACATCTGACGCGATAAATGTTGAGGATATTCTCTCTGACATCGTACCCTGCGGTGTAGATGCTGACACATCTGACGCGATAAATGTTGAGGATATGCTCTCTGACATCGTACTCAGTGTTGTCGATGGTGACACGTCTGACGTGATCAATGATATTGTCTCTCTATCTGACATCGTACGAAGGGGTTCTATCTGACAACGTACTCTGCGATGAAGAGGGTGGTTCATCTGACTTGGTAAATGATGAGGATATTACATCTGACATCGTTCTCAGTGGGGTAGATGGTGACATATCTGACGTGATAAATAATAAGGTCTCTCTTTCTGACATCATACTCAGTGGTGTAGATGGCGACACAGTTGAAGTGATGATTGATGAGGATATTCTATCTGACATCGTTCTTAGTGATCTAGATGGTGACACATCTGAGTTAATATTTGATGAGGACAGTCTGTCTGACATCGTATTCAGGGATGAGGGTGGTGATTCATCTGAAGTGATAAATGATGAAGATATTTTATCTGACCTGACTTGTTATATGACGAATACATTCTCTCTGACATCGTACCCTGCGGTGTAGATGCTGACACATCTGACGCGATAAATGATGAGGATATTATCTCTGACATACATCGTATTCAGTGATGAATATGGTGATTTATCTGAAGTGAGAAATGATGAGGACATTCTCATTTGATCTGACATCGTACTCAGTGTCGTCGATGGTGACACGTCTGACGTGATCAATGATATTGTCTCTCTATCTGACATCGTACGAAGTGGGTCTATCTGACATCGTACTCAGTTATGAAGATGGGGACATGTCAGACTTGCTATATGACGAAGCCATTCTCTCTGACATCGTACTCAGTGTTGTCGATGGTGACACGTCTGACGTGATCAATGATATTGTCTCTCTATCTGACATCGTGATGGTAACACATCTGACTTGTTAGATGACGAAGACATTCTCTCTGGCACCGTATTCAGTGATGAAGATGGTGGTTCATCTGACGTGATAAATAATAAGGTCTCTCTTTCTGAAGATGGTGACACAGCTGAGTTTATATTTGATGAGGACATTCTGTCTGACATCTTATTCAGTGATGAAGATGGTGATTCATCTAACGTGATAAATGATGAGGACATTCTATCTGACATCGTACTCAGTGGTAACACAGCTGAGTTAATATTTGATGAGAACATTCTGTCTGACATCGTATTCAGTGATGAAGATGGTGATTCATCTGACGTGATAAATGATGAGGACATTCTCTCTGACATCGTACTTAGTGATGTAGATGGTGACATATCTGACGTGATAAATAATAAGGTCTCTCTTTCTGACATCGTACTCAGTGGTGTAGATGGTGACACAGTTGAAGTGATGAATGATGAGGATATTCTATCTGACATCGTACTCAGTGATGTAGATGGTGATACAACTGACTTGCTATATGACGAGGACATTTTATCTGACATCGTACTCAGTGATAAAGATGGTAATACATCCGACTTGCTATATGACGAAGACATTCTCCCTGACATCGTACTCAGTGGTGTAGATGGGGACACGTCTGACTTGATAAATGATGTGGACATTCTCTCTGACATCGTACTCAGTGATGAAGACGGGGACACGTCTGACTTGATAAATGATGAGGACATTCTCTCTGACATCGTACTCAGTGATGAAGATGGGGACATGTCTGACTTGCTATATGACGAAGACATTCTCTCTGACATCGTACTCAGTGATGAAGATGGGGACACGTCTGATTTGCTATATGACGAAGACATTCTCTCTGACATCGTACTCAGTGATGAAGATGGTGTCACATCTGACGTGATAAATGATGAGGACATTCTATCTGACATCGTACTCAGTGATGAGGATGGGGACACGTCTGACTTGCTATATGACGAAGACATTCTCTCTGACATCGTACTCAGTGGTGTAGATAGTGACACATCTGACTTGTTATATGACGAGGACATTTTATCTGACCTCGTACTCAGTGGTGCAGATGGGGACACGTCTGACTTGATAAATGATGAGGACATTCTATCTGACATCGTACTCTGCGATGAAGATGGTGATTCATCTGACTTGGTAAATGATGAGGATATTATATCTGACATCGTACTCAGTGATGAAGATGGCAAAACATCTGACTTGCTATATGACGAAGACATTCTCTCTGACATCGTTCTCAGTGGTGTGGATGGTGTCACATCTGAGGTGATAAATGATGAGGAAATTCTATCTGACATCGTACTCAGTGGTGTAGATGGTGACACAGCTGAAATGATAAATGATGAGGACATTCTATCTGACATCGTACTCAGTGGTGGAGATGGTGACGCAGCTGAAGTGATAAATGATGAAGATATTTTATCTGACATGGTTCTGAGTGGTGTAGAATGTGTCATATATGGGGACATAAATGGTGAGAGCATATTCTCTGACATCGTACTCAGTGGTGTAGATGGTGACACGTCTGACTTGATAAATGATGAGGACATTCTATCTGACATCGTACTCAGTAGCGTAGATGGTGACACGTCTGACTTGATAAATAATGAGGACATTCTCTCTGACATTATACTCAGTGGTGTGGATGGTGACATGTTTGACGTGATAAATGATGTGGACATTCTCTCCAACATAGTTATTAGTGTTGTAGATGGGGACACGTCTGACTTGATAAATGATGAGGACATTCTCTCTGACATTATACTCAGTGGTGTGGATGGTGATATGTTTGACGTGATAAATGATGTGGACATTCTCTCCAACATAGTTATTAGTGTTGTAGATGGTGACACGTCTGACTTGATAAATGATGAGGACATTCTCTCTGACATTATACTCAGTGGTGTAGATGGTGACACATCTGACGCGATAAATGTTGAGGATATTCTCTCTGACATCGTACCCTGCGGTGTAGATGCTGACACATCTGACGCGATAAATGATGAGGATATTATCTCTGACATAATACTCAATGGTGTAGATGGTGACACATCTGACGCGATAAATGTTGAGGATATTCTCTCTGACATCGTACTCAGTGGCGAAGATGCTGACACATCTGATGTGATAAATGATGAGTTCACTCTTTCTGACATCGAACTCAGTGGTGTAGTTGGTGACATGTATGACGTGATAAATGATGAGGTCACTCTTTCTGACATCGAACTCAGTGGTGTAGATGGTATCACGTATGAATTGACAAATGATGAGGATATTTTATCTGACATTGTACCCTGCGGTGTAGATGCTGACACATCTGACGCGATAAATGATGAGGATATTATCTCTGACATAATACTCAATGATGTAGATGGTGACACATCTGACGCGATAAATGTTGAGGATATTCTCTCTGACATCGTACTCAGTGGCGTAGATGCTGACACATCTGATGTGATAAGTGATGAGGACATTCTTTCTGACATCGTACTCGGCACACTCGGTGAAACGTCTGACCTGATTAATGACGAGGACACTGTATTTGACATAGTACTCAGTGGTGTAGATAATAGCACATCCGACTTGATTAATGATGAGGCCATCCTCCCTGACATCGTACTCAGTGGTATAGATGGTGACACGTCTGACTTGATAAATGATGAGGAGATTCTCTCTGACATCGTACTCAGTGGTATAGATGGTGACACATCTGACTTGATTAATGATGAGGCCATCCTCCCTGACATCGTACTCAGTGGTGTAAATGCTGACACACCTGACTTGATTTGTGATGAGGACATTCTCTCTGACATCGAACTCAGTGGTGTTGGTGGTATACCTGTTGATGTAGTTAAAGAAACTGGCATACCCTCCGACTTCTCACTCAGTGATGGGGATGGTTTCACGGCTGATGACATACTTTCTGGTATCATGTCATAAGACGGAGATGATGTCACTGTTAACTGTATAAACGACGTCGTCGTACTCTCTGACACCCTTTTTGGTGACGTAAAGTGGGTCAACGCTGACATTTTCTCTGACATCAAACTCAGTGACCGAGATGATATCACACCTGACTGGAAATACGACGGTGATATAGAATCTGATATCGAATCCAGAGACGTCGATGATGGTACCGTTGAGTGGATAAACAGTGCTGACATCCTCTTTGACATCATACCAAATGACGAAAATGGTGCCGCGCCTGACAGAGGAAACAGTGATGAAATATTCTCTGACATCAAACTAGATGACATTGATTTTGTTACAGTTGACTGGATAAATGGTGATGAAACAGTATCCTTCCCTTCATTCGGAGACGTAAATGATGTCACAGTTGACTGAACAAAAGATGTCCCCGTCTCTGACACCCTTTTCAGTGACGTAGGTGATGTCATAGTTGACTGGATTATTGAGGATGGCATACTGTTTGACATTAACATTGATGATGTGATACTCACTGACATCGTACTTAGTGGCGCAGTTGGTGTCACAACTAACTGCACGAACGATGTTGACATAATCTCAGACGCCTTAATAAGTGAGGTAGGCTGTGTTTCAGCTGATTGGATAGACGATGACGAGCTACTCTCCGATATCGTTCTCTGTGGCAATGACGGTGTCACAGCTGACTGAACGAGCGATGATGATATACCTTCAATTGTCGAACTGAGTAACGTTGACAATGGCACTGTTGACTGGATAAGCGGTAGTGGTAAGTTCTCGGACGACTTGATCGGTGACGTGGATTGTGTCACAGCCGATATGAAGAAAGATGAGGTCATGCTCTCTGACATTGTACTCAGTACCTTAGATGACGTCACTTTTGTTTTAATAAACGATGATGACAAATTCTCTGACATCCTTTTAATTGACGTTGGCTGAATTATCAATAATGACACCGAACTTTGCGGTAAAGATGGTGTGACACTTGACTGTAACAACGGTGATGAAATTCTCTCTGACATCAATCTTGATGATACCGATTGTGTCGCAGTTGGAAGGATAAATGATGATGGTCTATTCTCTGACACTCTCGTCAGAGACATTGATGCTGACTGAATAAATAATGAAGACCTTCTCTCTGACATCTTATTCAGCGGCGTAGATGGTGTCACTGCTAATTGGATAGATGGTGATGAGGGCGTTTTCTCTAACATCGAACTAATTGGCATTGGTATAGATGGCCTCAACGCTGACTGGTCAAACGATGATGCCATACTTTCTGAAATCATAATAAGTGACATTGAGAGTCTCTCTGACATCGTAATTTGTGATACATTTGGTGACGGAACTGACTGGGTTAACGACAATGTCATACTTTCATATATTGTATTATGTGACTCGGACGGTGTAACAACAGAGTTGGGAAACAAAGATGGAACGCCCCCTGTCATCGCCATCTGTGACGAATATGGTGTCACAGTTGAATAAACAAACGACGATGACATTCTCTCTGACACGCTACTCAATAAACTAGACGTTGTCACAAATGACTGGATTAAAGATGTTGACACATCATTTGACATTCTCTTTAGTGACGTATTTGGTGTTACAGGTGACGGGAGAGACGATGATGTATCATTCGTTAACGTGCTCCTTCGGGATGTAGATAGTTTGACATCTGACTGGATAAACGACGATGATATACTTTCTGACATCGTTCCAAGGGACGTAGAAGGTGTCACAGTTGGCTGGATAAATGAGTTTGGCATTTTTTGTGACATTGTACTCACTGACAAAGATGGTGTTTCACTTGATTGATTAAATGCTGATGATATTTTCGCTGATATCGTACTCGGTGACGTAGACGGTGCCACAGTTTGCTGGATAAATGATGTTGACAAAATGTCTGATGCCTTTTGCAGAGAATACGATTGTGCTAGAGATGACTGGATTGACGATGGTGAGATACTCTCCGATGTCTTACTGAGTGACGTAGACGATGTAACGCTCGACTGAATAAGCGCTGCTGGCATGCTCTCTGACATCGTATTCAGGGGGATAGATGATGTCACTGTTGTTTGGATAAACGAAGCTGACATACTCTCTGACACCGTACTCAATGACAGATAAGGTGTTGCACCTGACTGAATAAAGCTTAGAGATGACGTACTCCATGACATAGTTGATTTCACAGTAACCGTTGGCTGGGAAAATGATGGTGGCATACTGTCTGATGTCCTGTTTAGTGACGTCACAGTTGACGGATTTATCGAGGATGATATGTTTTCTGACATCATACTCCGTGACAAAAATAGTGTCTCACTTGAAGAAACACTTTCTGATATCGATTGTGTTACAGTTGACATGATAAATGATGATGCGATACTCTCTGACATCGAATTCAGTGACGTCAATGGTGTAACTGCTCTCTTGGTAAACGGTGATGACATTCTGTTTGACATCGTTATAAGTGACGAAGATGGTGTCACAGTTGACTTGCTAAATGATAATGGCGTATTGTCTGACACCCTTTTCAAAGATGATATCACAGCTGACGGAATAGTTGAAGATTGCATACTCAGTGACATCGTCATCTGTGACGTAACTGCTTCTAAATTTGAAGAAACATACGTAGACGTATTTTCTGACATACCACTTAATAGTCTATTTGGTGTCACAGTTGATTTAAAATATAATGATGACATAGTATTTGACATCTTCTTCAATGGGGTAGAAGGTGACACAGCTGATTGAACGAACGAGTATGACATCTTCTTTAACATCGTATCCAATAACAAAGATGGTGTTGCATTTAACTGAACAAATAATGAAGAAATACTCGTTGACATTTTTTGCGGCAAAGATGACTGGATAAATGATGATAAGATGCTCTTCGACATTGTTCTCAGTGACGTTTCTGTAGTAAATGCTGACTGGATAAACAATGATGACATTCTCTGTGACATCGTGCTTGGTGATGGATATGGTCTCAGAGATGACTTGATAAACGATGATGACATATTTTCTGTCATTATACTCAGAGACAAATATGGTGTCTCAGATGACTGAATCAATGATGATGATATCCTGTCTGACATTGAACTAATTGATGTAAATGACATCGCTGCTGATTTAGTTAAGGATGACATACCATCGGGCATCTCATTCAGGGACGTAGATGTTGTCACAGGCGACTGGATGGATGTTGATGACATACTATCTGACTCCTTGTTTTGTGGTGTAGGTTGTGTCACAGCTGATTGAACAGACGATGATGACATACTCGCTGACATCGTATTCAGATGCGTAGTTGTGGCCACTCCTGACTGGATATATGACGGTAAAATGTTCTCTGACATCGTATTCAGTGACGTAGATGGTGTCTCCGACATCTTAACCACAGGTGTCTGTGATGTCGCATATGATTGGTTAAACGATGGTGAAATACCTTCTGTTATTCTATTCATTGACGTTGACGGTGTCACAAAGGACTGGGATAATGCTAGTCCTCTGCTGCCTGCCATCGTCATCAGTGGTGCTGAAGGTTCCACGGATGGATTGCTAAACGTTGACATACTCTTTGCAATCGTGTTAATTGATGTTGATGGTTCCAAATCTAACTGGCTAAACGTCAATGACAAATTTTCTGACGTACTACTGGGTGCTATAGGTTGTTGTACAATGGATGATGAAGTACTGTTTGGCATCGTTGGCTTATATGATGTTATTGGTGCCTGGACAGTCGATGAAGAAATGTTTTCTGTCATCGTGGTGAGCGACGAAGACTGTGTCACAGATGACTGAATAAACAAGGACGAGGAACTCCCTGACGTTTTGGTTATTGGCCTAATTGGTGACACACTTGACTGAATAGATGGTGTGACAGCTGTCTGGCTAAACATCAGAGACAAATCTTTTGAGGTTCTTCTCGATGAAACAGGTGGAGTTAGAGGCAATGACATATACGATGGTGTCAGTGGCGTAGATGGTGTAACTGATGACTGGACAGACGATGATAGTATACTCTTCAACAATAATATCTGTGATGTAGGTTGTGTCACAGCTGAATGAACATTTGATGATGACACACTCGTTAACATCGGACTCAATGGCATAGATAGTGTCACTTGTGACCGGATAAACGCAGATGACATACTCCCTGATATTTTGTTCTCGAAAGAAGACCTTGCCATAAATGTTTGGATAGATTCTGGTGCTATACTCCAAGACTGCAAACTCATTGATGTGGACATTATAAGGAAAGATGACATAATCGTTGACATAATGCTCCTAGATTTAGTTTGTGTCATCATTGACGTCTGAACGGATGGTGGCATATCCACCGATGCCATACTCTTTATTATAGAGGGTACGCTTGTCAACTGTATAAATGGCGATGATGCACCTTCTGATATCATAGTTCCCGATGTTGATGATGTCACAGACGACTTAACAAAATATTGCGACAGACTCTCTGACACGCTAATTCTCGAATTCGATGGTAAAACAGCCGACTTTAAAGATGATGACAATGTAGATGTTGTAACCATTGACTTTTTATACAATGACGGCACACTGTCTGATATCATTCTCAATAATGGCGATGATGACACATCTGACTTGGTGGGTGTTAAATTCGTACTGTCCGATACCACGTCCTGCGATGAAGATGATATTATCATCGACGGTTGAACGAATGACGACATATTCTCCAGTGACGTTATACCCTTCATTGCAAATGGTAAGCTTGTTGTCTGGATAACATTTGGTGACATATTATCATCAACTGGTGTGTTTTCTGATGCAGATTGACTTGTCATAGATGGCTGAATGAATTGTGACATACTCTCCGATATTGTGCTTTCCGTAGTTAATGACATATTTGTCGACTGAGCATAGTTTGTTGACATATTTGTCAATGTTGACGTTGTACTAAAAGACATGATAATTGATGATGAAGGTGTCAAATAGTCGTATATCAAACTCGTTGTTTT